TCCGCTTCATTCTTCTTCATAAGCACGTCGACGTCATCCCTGTCCATCCGTACCGCATCACTTACCTAGCCGATCTACCCATTCCTCCTTCTACACCGCTCCATTTTTTCAGAATATGCCGCCATTTCAACCCTTCTAACATGTTTTTCTTACGATAGTACAATTAATACATAAAGCAATCATTCATCTTCCATTACACATTGTGTGCCTTCGGTTAGCAACGGCTGGACTGTCTTCCTCCCGGCTCCTTATTAGTGAAGGAAATCAAAGTACTTATGAATACGAATAGCAAACTTTACTCTTTTTCTCTGTATTAAACGGCAAAAGCATTTTTGACGTAGTTGTGCCAATAGAAACATATTTCACTTTTAGTGTGGATTTCTAATTACGGCTCTTTTAATTTATATGACTGTCGGAGGAGGAATGTCGAATTTATATTTGTTGTACCGCACCACCACAATTCAAATGGTGAAGCCGAACGTTTCGTCCAAACATTCAAGAAGGGGTATTACAAATGCAAAAAAAGTGGGAAAGGGTGTTGATGCGATAGTCAGAGACCTGTTGTTTAAATCCGGAGTAACGTCACACCCTGCGACGGGAACGTCTCCGGCAGAAATGTTCATGGTTTGAACAATAAGAACAACTCTCGACCTTCTAAAAGAACCCCGCAGCAAGTCTATTTGCGTCATTATCAGGATCGGCATGAAATGGGTTCCAGGTGTCGTACTAGAAATAGTGGGGTCAAACCTCTACCGGGTGCATTACGGCACCGGTAGTAGGGTAGCTCATGCCGACCAATTGAATAAAAAGAGTTACCTTCTGGGAGGAGGAAGATCGCCCGGATGGAATAATAAGGACGAAGGGTAGCAAGATGACGATCATCGACAATCCGGAAGAAGCAGAGCGGCCGGGTCTTCTAACCGGCCCTGGACAGGCCCCGCCAGAGAAGTCTGGAGCGAGGACGCTGTGACACACACTCAAGCGAGCTGTCCAGAAGTTGATGCGAGCCGAGGAGAGGAAGTTACACAATGTACCGTAGATATGGAAACTTATTAGTTTTTTTAATGTGAAATAATAAAGTTTTTGTGAAGTTGTGTACAGGCAGAAGCACTTGTATATGGGGAAATCAGTGTGGACGCCGACAGGTGGCGTCTCAGTGTGGTGGTTGGTTGAGTCACCTAGACGGTTACTACGAGGGGATTTTGTGGGGTAGGCCGGTTTAGGGTAACAGTACGGTTGAAAGTGTAAGATTTTTGTTTTGTGCTGATGCTCGAACAAGTAGTGTAGCAACACAGCCGTTTATTATAGTAAAAGAAATCAACAACAACGATATAAAAAACAACTTATAATGAGACGGCAATTACAATTGAACACGACAACACAACGATGTTCAAGAGTTTACAATAGGAGAAGAGGTTGCCACTAGGCGAAAGAAATTATCACCCTTCTTTCTGAGGGCCACAGGAGCAGCGGTTCCCTGGACGTGAGTCTTCACTACCAGAAAGGGGCACAAACCCGCTTTTGGGGCTAGGCTATAGTCTATTGGATGACGACCCTCGCTTCTGGAGGGCTCTCTCTCGGCGAAAGTGGGTGTCCCTTGCTTCTGAAGGGCACTACCGACCCGGGTGCAGGTGAGGGAGTCGACAACTAACTTCCAACCCTACTCGCAAGGGCTTTTATATTACCTCGCCACGTGTCATGATACTGCTATCAGTGTTTACACGTTAAGTTAGGTAAGGTGCTTCTCACTCGCTCGCCTTACACGTTAAGCTGAGTAAGGTGCTTTCATTTTATGCTCACCTTACATCCCCGGGAGCTAGGAAGAGTGGTCCGTCACTCGTCCTTGTGGTTTTTTTTTTCTTTTCGCCTAGAAGCAACTAATTTATTATTATTATATTTTTTTACATTATCCATCCTTCCCTTTTAGTTTTATTTCACTTACTCTTAATGCTGCCCGAATCTTTTTCTGTGTAGGTGCAGACTCTTTTTCCTTGGTGGGTAAGGAGGATTGTTTTCCTCATAGCTCCGTTTTGGAGATTCGTTGCTAACGGCTCTCTTTTGCTTTTCAGTCGCCGGAGGCCATCCATTTGGCCCAATACTTTCTAACGCTATCATACCACCTCTTTGTGGCGTAGAATCCTATGTGTCCGTTGAGCATCATATGGTGCTGTGCCCAGCGATCTGTGGGGGTGATCCCACTCGCCAGGTTTGGCGTCTTCGAACAGTCTGACATGATTTGCCACTCTGTTGAGGTTTTCAACCAGGGTTTCCATGGAGTTATAGATTTGCGCCATTTCTTTTCATGATCTCGTGTTTGGTGTTCCATGGGTGCGGCAACTTGGATATCATCTGAGATCATGGCTTCCAGCCAGGGTGCGAGATGGTTGGTAATGTCTTCGGCGTTGGCTTCTTCTGACCCGATTATAAACAGTACATCGGAATTGAGTTCTATTTTTGGGAGTTGTATGTTGATTGCCGTAATACTCTCATCCTATCAGCATGTGGATTCTTGGAAAGGCATTCGTGGTGTAAGCAGGTATTGTTTCCTCTGCTTCTTTTGGAATGGTGCTTTCCATTCTTGTCCATCAATGAGCTTCAGTGCGGCTTGATAAATACCGCTCACACGAATGGTTTCCCCTTCAGCTTGGATTGCTTCATGGTAGAAGTCTTTCCGGCTGCACATCCTCTAGGCCTCAGCTGCACGTGCAAACATTTCTTTTTGAAATACAGCAGCGCAAGGGCAAGTGCTTCTCCTGAAATCCTTACTGAAGTTTTCTGTTTCGCCATGATCATCAGTTTGTGGTCATCCGACCAATCTTCTTTTACCCATATTGTGATGAGCTGGGCCAACCTGCCTGCGCTATCAAAACTAATGTCCTCCATTGTTTGAGGAAGACCTTGCACTACGTTTGAAAGTTTACGAGCATTCTCTTCTTTCAACAATGGGCATTTAAAACCGATACGATAGCCTTTGTAATCGCCCGGCGGCTTCACCAAGTTGTTTTTCATGGCATACGAACTTAAGGTGCAACGGGTGCGACGTGTCTTCCGTGAGAACAAGCTGCTTCAAGGCCGGACCTAAATGAAGTATTTTCATTCATTTGTATTTTCATCACGGCTATTTTTGTTTTACGCCTTCTTGCTGATGTTTCTACGGGGGTGTCATCAATATAATGCGGTATTATTCGCAGTAAATCAAATTGAACTTGTATTGGTTCTTCGTTTTCATGGATTTTTGTGATGACTGCGGAGTTTGAGCTCACTTCAAGTACTCTGTAGGGACCCGCCCAATCTATTGTTAGCTTGGGGTGTTTGGTTTTTCCCTTTTCCGCAGGCATACGAACAAATACTCGATCACCTATTTTTGGTGCCTGAGTGATGTCTGTTTTGTTGAGTTTGTCGTAGCGCTGTTTCATTTTGCTACGGTAGCTCTCGTTGTTTTCTCTGACAATTTCTTGAATAATTTTTATGCCATTCATTAGGGAGGCTCTGTAATCGTCGATGTCAATTCGGTATGGTGACAACTCATCAGATGGCACCACATTGGATGGAAACGTAGGGTCGAATCCATGTAATATGAAGAAAGGACTCTCGTCCGTTGCTTCATGAGGGGAGATATTGTACGCATATACAACGTGAGGTACGGCTTCGTCCCACTCTGACACTATTCCTCCTCGTTTTTTCAGCATTCGGAGAAGTGTCTTATTTGCTCTTTCGGTACTCCGTTCTCCCTTGGATTATAGCCCTTTGTAAATGACTGTTGGATGCCGGTCACTTTACATAAGGCTTCCATAACATTGTTTTCGAATTCCTTTCCCTCTATCGGAGTGTATTCTTTTTGGCCATCGCCACCCTTCGGCGATCCACCTCTTGAAAATCACCTTCGCAATCTCTTCAGCAGACTTAGAAGAAACGGGATATGCTCCGAGCCACTTCGAGAAATGGTCGATTGATAACGACCAGGTATCTCATCCCGCTTGAAGAAAGTCCTATCTCTAGGACGTCGATTCCAATAACTTCGAATGGTTTCGACACTTCAAAGGGCTTTCAGTGGTGGTGGCTTATTTGTGCGGTCATTCGTTAGAAAGCAGCTTCTGCATTCAGCACACCACTTCGCTACATCCTGTTGGAGGCCCTCCCAAAAGACACGCTTCTTCAGGAATCTGCCTATTTTCTTTGCGTTGAAGTGACCTGAAAAGGGTCCAGCATGCACTTCGTTGAACACTTCGAATCTCTTGGATTTGGGGACGACTTTTGCAAGTGATCCATCTTCCGAGATTAGGTGCAAATTGCCTTCATGAATGCAGAAATCGCACACTTTGAGTTTCTTTGTTTGACGTGGCAATTGTACCTCACTTTCAGTTTTACCTTCACGCAGTTTTTCTATCAAATCACTGTAGTCTGCATCGTTTTTTAATTCTTGAAGCCATTCAGACTCACATTCAACGCTGCTTACCACGCGGATGTGTTCGGACTCGTTTCCGTTAGGTTCACGATCACTCGCTATGCCTCGTGAAAGTGCGTCCGCTACTTTATTTGCGCTGCCCTTCACGTACTGTATTTCCAAGTTATATGCTTGCAATTCGAGGGCCCAGCGGATGACGCGAGGTGACACATTGCTTCTTTTAAACAACGTAGTGAGAGGCTGGTGGTCCGTTCGAACAATGGTTTTGTTCCAAAAATGAAGAAATGGAACTTTTTGATCGCATATATTATGCAAGTGCTTCGATGTCCGTAATGTGATAGCGTTGCTCTGTCTTTGATAGCTTCTTTGAGGCGAAGTACAACGGATGCAGGAGATTGTCTGGCCCCTTCTTGGCATAATACTGCTCCTATTCCGATTGTGCTTGCATCAGTGTATATGATATATGGCCTTTCACCTGACTTTGCTCTTTGTATATCTGGCTGTCCTAATACTGGTGCCGATATAATAGCATTTTTTAGCTTTTCAAACGCAAGCTCTTGTTCACTGTTCCACGTGAACGGCGCTTTCGAGCTTGTAAGATCAAACAGTGGTTTTGCTATCGCAGAAAACCTCAAAACGAACTTTCTGTAATACCCGCAGAGGCCTAAGAACGTTCTTAGCTCCGCAAGATTGGTGGGCTTGGGGTAGTCATGGATTTTGACTACTTTATCTGGGTCCATCTTTACTCCTTCTTCGTTAATGATATGTCCTAGGAACGATACTTGTCGTTCCATCAACAGGACATTTTTGAGGTTTGAACTTCAATTTCGCTCTTCCTGAACGCTTCGAATACTCTTGCCAGCATTTGCAGGATGGCGTTCTTCACTATCCTGTAGCGACGAGTACGTCGTCAATATAGACGAATACTTCTTCTCCCTTCAGATCACCGAGAACACGATCCATGAGTCGCTGAAATACTGCCGGAGAGGTGCACAGACCAAAAGGCAGAACTAAGAACTCATAGAGACCTTCGGGAGTAGTGAATGCGCTCTTTTGTTGAGCATCTTCTGTGAGTTTGATTTGCCAGTAACCGGAGGCCATGTCCAATGTGCTGAAAAACTTTTTCCCTCCCAGGCTCTGCAGGAGAGTATCCGTGATTGGTAGGGGTAAGAATCCTGTTTGGTATGTTTGTTTAGCGCTCTGTAGTCTATGCACAGTCGAAGCGTTTTGTCCTTCTTCTGGACCAACACTATTGGTGATGCCCAGTCCGACGTTGACTTTCTTATTATATTTCTCTCCTCCAAGTCATTCAGGATATTCTTCAGCTCACTTCTCACTCCCTGTGCGACTGGCCTGGTCCTTTGCTTGATGGCTTTGGCGTCTCCTGTATCGATGCTATGCTTGATAAGATCCGTTTGTGTTAGTTCTTTGTCGCTTACCGCAAAGACATCTTGAAACTCTTTGACCAGTTTTGTCAAAGCTTCCGGAAAACAACCGTATTTGCTATTGCTGGCCAACAGATTCAGTAAGATATGGACCCGATCCGACTGAGACTCTGGTTCCATGCTTAATTCTAACATGTCAGACTCCAGGTCCCTTGTAGCCGGTTGTATGGCATCAGCTTCTTCCCATACCCCGATTTTCTGTCCTTCGTGAAAGATTATCGGTTGTGGTGTATGGTTCA